TTTACTGTGACAAGATGAAAGTGATCATCCATATCGTCAAAAAGCTCAAGAATTTTGTGAGAGTCGTGGTGGCACTCTCGCCGATATAAAGAACAGTGCGGAGGATGCAGACATTAGAAAGTTTATTCTTGATAATAAAATGGATTCTCCTCAATGCGTACCAAACTATGGTTTTTGGATAGGATTGCAAGATGGCGATGGCGCAGATGAAGGAGTGTACAAGTGGGGTGATGGGACCACACCTTGTTACCAAAACTGGGCAAAAGATAATCCTAACAACAATGTGAAGAAGAATGCAACAAGTGGCCAAGACTGTGTTCAGTTATGGTAAGTGAGGGCGTTGTTCACCAAAATACCAAACTTAGTGAATATTAAAAATACTTGTAATGACAAATAATGATAATCATAAGCAAAGTAACACACAACGTAATACTAGAAAGAGAGAAAGTAACACTATATTTTGAAAAACAGCTAAAATTCAAGGAATTATTATTTAAACAACATATGCTACTTTTCAGGGCTAGGCCTGGCAAAGGACTATTGTGGGATGACGAATATTGTGACTACCGTCCAAAGGGGATTGTGTGTCAGTTTATTGGTAAGTTAGAATTGTATTTGCATAGAAATTAAAAAGGTTTTTATTATAATGTGTGGTGTGGAACTTCTTTGCTAAAATATGCTATTTACAGTTTTGGCTACTTCATATTCACCAGCATAGCGTGCGGACACTAATTATTTGCTTAATTATTCACTAACTAATTGTATTGGTACAAACCTTAAAAGTAAAGGAATTCTACACATGTACAAACAACAACAAAAACAGTCTCGAGTAGAGAGATAGCAATACAATTGACTGCGGTTGACTATGACATATGAATGTTGTTGCTTGATAAAAGGGCGCCCTCAATGGGCAATTTGTTGTGTGTTTCAGCTAATAATAATGCCATTTTTTTCAAACAGACGAATGTGGCTGTGAACTTGGAGCAAGTGTTTGATCTGATTTGATGAAAGCTGATCCGCGATTGTGAAACTGACAAACGATTCCGTGGCAGTAATGTAACAATAAATAGTACATGCATGGAAAAGTAATTGAGTGTGTTTGGTTTTGTTTATATTACTACCATTCTACTACTTATCCTTTCTGTTAACCACATTGATAAGAAATGGTTCATAATCTGAAAATGAAAAAAATAGATTAAGACTTAAGAATCCCCAAAATATCAAAATGCGGAAACAAAGATAACAGATTGTTACTGAACCTAAGCTTCGCAAACATTTCTATGTTTAGTCACATGATATTCAACTTTTATAATAAATTAATTAAAACGCAATTCTACATTATATTGCATTGTAATTGGGTTTAATTAAACTCCAATTAAAATGCAGCCCTATAGAGAAACGCGTTTTAATCGAGTTCATATCTCAGCTATATAAAATGTTAATTCAATTATATTAAAATGACCTAACACGGGACTTTCAAAGAACCAAGGCGTGCACAGAGGTCAAAGCGTGCGCGTGTTCTTGCGTGCGAAGATGCCTTAGGTTTATCCATAATAAAGGTATGATATATAACACCTTTCTTATTAGCTCCGTTACAGAATGCCTATATAGCACATGTCAATGCTCTATGGAAGTGTTATTAGCTTGTAAATAAACTATTGGGATTTTCTGAGTGTAAACATACGTCAAGCAAGTGATTAACATACTCATTAGCATAGCCACACCTGTAATACACAATCGCCCAGAGCACAGTCGACTAAAATGTGCCTTTATTATTTTCCCATCTTACAAAATTCAACAATTTTATACCCTCTCAAAATGGTCTCCGAATTTTCTTGGGCGGTCCCATGATTCGCCGTAACTTCATGGCAACCCGGAAGGCAATCTTTGAACACAAAAATATGCAGTCAATATTAGCAAGCTGGTCGTGTATTCTATGGTATAAAGGAACACCAGTACTCGTTTAATTATATTAAAACCAAACATAATATAATATTTGTTTGATGGGACGATATATAATACAATATATTCCATATCGTTCTGGAAAAAAGCGAACAATTTCAAATTTGCAGTTACACATATTATTACATTATCGGTAGTCATCTTGCTACGTTATCAGACGGCAACAAATATCAAAAAGCTGCATATGCCAGTCGTAAATTGCTAGCCAGAGACAAGTCTTTTTCTATAATTGAAACAAAAGTGTCTGGCAGTGATTTGGGCATAGCATAAATTTCATTAATGTCAGCATCATTTGTTCTATTGTTTTGTCATATCACTTCAAACCCTGGAAATAGACGTATGCATGGAATTGTTAGGAAGTTATTAGCAGTTTTCCATGTACATTATGTTTTAGTTTAGGTGATACCAGAAACCAGGACGTTTCATATTTTTCAGTTCCGCCATGTTAGGAAGTTGTTAGAAGTTTTTTTTTGTATGTATATTTATTTCTAGCGCTATTCACTGTCGCATATCCAATGTGAAAGTTCATGATGTGTCGCCAGCTGAAATATTTTCCTTTGTCATGCTATATATGTTAACGAATCAATTGTTCAGTACCAGCTCTCATTGACTACGTTACC